GAAATGAGCTGCTGGCATTGGAGCATGCAGAGCTCCAATGCCAGTTAAGATAAACTACTGGTATTGGAGGAGCTTGAGGTAGAACTCCAATACCAGATATAGTAGGGTTCTGGTATTGGAGTGGGCAGAGCTCCAATACCAGACATGGTGAGGTTCTGGTACTGGAGACTGAGGTAGAGCTCCAGTACCAGACATGGTGGGATTCTGGTATTGGAGTAGGCAGAGCTCCAATACCAGACATGGTAGAGTTCTGGTACTGGAGACTGGGGTAGAGCTCCAATACCAGCTAAGATGAGCTGCCAGCATTGGAGGAGGGGGAATGTGTTCAAAGAGGCAGGAAGACTGATAGCGGGGATACTAGCTACCCGCCTCCTTTCCCCTGCTATCCAAACGCGAGTAGATCGTGTCGAGGAGGGAGTTTGACATCTAGCTTGGCCCATTGATAAAACCCTGACGTCGTAGGCAGTAAGCACTCCCCCTCTGCGCCGAGACTCTGAGAGATCTGCTGAAGGTTAGCAAAGCTCCAAGGCCATGTCTGAAGCAAATGTTTGGTGGGCACCATACGCATATACTCCTCGGCCTTCCGCTATTCATCTCACCTCTTCATCCTTCCGGTATAAGCGACGTCGCTCACACTAGACGCTCAGCCCACCCTACCATGAAGGAGGCAAAGTCTAGATGCTTCCCAATACCACCACCATTCGCTGGGGGCAATAACAGCAAGCTCCGACCGTCTCTAAGTGTAGTATTAGTATTACGACGCCGGAAATCAGGAGGGAAGATAAGCTTACTCTGGTTAGAATTCGTGGTCGCCATAGCCTTCACACAGGCTCCTTCACACAATGCCTACAGATAAACCGTGATGCCTGAGACCACCCAGTGCCTCCACGCAGCCCCCGAAATTCAATACCACAGTGAGAACCGTGATGTGGAGTGTGGTGGTGATGGTGGTGATGGTGGTAAGGACGATGGTAGAAAGGATGATGGTGGAGTGGGGAAGAAGAGGGAAAGTGGTGAGGACACCCGCCGGTATTTATAGGCCTAAGACTAACGCCTGGGTATCCCAGTTTGTGCGGGAGGGAGGGGGACTGCCATATGACTGTCTTCGGGTTACTACATCACGTCCGCTCACTCGTCGGGGCGGGGCGGGGCGGGGCCGGGGCGGGGTCCAAATCCGGTGGCCGCCCCCCTCCGCCGAGCACACGCATTCGAGAGGCCGGCCCTACATCATTTCACACTAGCCTAGTGGGATACCGAGTAGATGGGGTTGGCTTTGGTGTCTCTCCGCTATCTAATAGAGACATTGCGATTTCGCATCCAGAGTCAAATCCTAGCGATCTCATTGGTCCGGAACCTCGTTTGACTCACATCCAGAGACTTTTTGCAAAGTCTCTATTACCTAGTAGCCCGGCTTGATTACGGACCAAAGCAATAAGTCGTTCCATGTGAATATTGTTTTATCACTCGGCCACCTACTTCTTTTGTGGCAGGCGGGTTGAACATAGCGCAAGCTGCTATCCGTTCGGATAGGAAGCCTTCTATGCCTCCAGCCGTCACCGTGAATAGATACGGTATCGTCTGAATTATCGCGGAAGTCACCCGATCAAACCAATACAAACACCCGGTTTGCTGATGATAACATGTGCCCCCCATGATAGACGTAATGTCCCGCATGAGCCGACCCGGGTGGGGGCCGAACGCTGGCTCGTCAGCAAATAGGCTCAAGCTTGCTCGAGCCCAGCTTTTTGTTACCAGTCACTTAGTATCACTCTCCCAAGCCAGCTATAGGCAGAGTTGGAGAGTACTAGTACTTGCAATTCCTCTTCAGCATCTAACTTGATCTCCCAATTCTCAACCTCTCACAAGTCCAGCCAACTTTTTAGGAATACCGGTGCACTCGCTTTCAGTTAGTTGGGCAACCGAAGGTGCGCGCAAACGGCACCCCGGGGACGGGAAAGCTCCAAGTTATCGAGACTCCTTCCTACATGCATCCCCAAGATTCATATACAAGGTAATCCTAAAGCACCCCGTCCCCCTGCCTCCGCCTGTTGCCTCGCGTCCTTTTACAAATTTGGAAGGAAAAAATTAAAATCGTTTGAAAAGCTCGAGCTTCTCAACTCGAGAAACACGAGATTGAAGAAACTTGCGGCAAGCCAAGTAGAAATGCAAGATGCCTGCAGCCTCAATTCCCCCACGCTGGGTATCCGCAACCGGGCAAATATCTGGCAGCTCTCCTAACAGTGGAGCAAGTCCCAGAGAATCACCCCTTCAACTGCTTGACTACCAACTCAAAGGCTTCTCCTAAAGCTGCCAAGCAGTTGTATAATATCATACGGCTTCAAGAACAGTCTCAGGGTGTTGGCGGATTAAAGAACTCTTACTCGTTTTCCGAAGCTTCCGAGTATGATACCGTAGCAGCATTCCTAATAAGAGAATGGGGTTTTACTGCTCTACGTTTCTTACCAAGTGTTTCCATACCGACACACTTCAGTGGAGGAGAAACCCCTCCATAAACCACAATTCTAGAACAAAGGAAACCACCTCCAACACTCCTAAAAGCTCCACGGCCAACCGCAACCCACCCATCGCCTTTCTCCATCAATTCCAACAAATACCGTTATCGATCACGTCACCCACGCCTCGTCGGGCAGGAATATCATTGACATGGTCTCTCAACTTTTGAAACAGCAAATACGACCACAGCCTTCAATTCCCCATACCTTAACATTCACTAGCAACTAGGGAAATACATATGGAGCATACAACTGGACAGCCAAGGCCTTGATCAAATGTGCCGGAGGATAATCTAAAGAACAGAGGGAAATGAAGCATCCTGAAGATAATTGGACCGATCAACCCGTAATATACCCCACTCTAGAAAACCGTATTCCCGTGCTTCCCAGGTAATCACGGGCCCCCGGACCGGCGAAGACTGTGGAGCAAGGCGATCCGATGGGGCATTGATAACGTCGCCCCAGAAATTCAAATGACCACCTGATCTTGAGACCGTTGTCCCTGAACCCTGCCACCATTCACACTACCTCTTTGTTGACCTTCCTCCCCTCCTCCGGTAGCCATTGCTCAAGGCTGACCGGGAAAATCAGATACAAGCACCCACGCAACCCACGGCCTAACAGCGCACCCAGAACGCCACGCTCTTCGCGAAGAAACCGAGCAAGCCCTACAGAAGGTAGCCGAGCCAAGCAAGGCTTAACAAAAATGAGTCAATTCGACAGCACGCTCCAGAGAAGCGGCCTCATGAGAGGCACCACATCAAGTCCCCTCTACTCCTCCAAAACAGTCACCAGAATCTGCAAAACCATGTTCAACTATACCTTCCCCAACCGCGCCAAAAGTCCAAAAGGAATCCGGGTCGGCTCACCCGCGAGCGTGATCCACCACACCGAGCGAGCATGCCGGAATCCGGAGGAGTCCGACGGGGTTAGGCCCTCCCGGATGCCAAAGGGAGAGGGAAAGGCTGCCAAGCACCAAGCCGTCAGGATGGGTGCGGATTATCAGCCTTTCGGACACGGGAAACACGCCCTGTGAGCTACCGAGGGATGGACGAGAGGAGGGCTGTAAGTTGACTCCAGCAGCTCACTCACCATGAGCCAATCGAACCCCGTCCTCCAGGACACGATCCGCGAGCACGAGTTCAAGTTTGAAGAACTACCCTAGGCCGACGAATACGTACAGCGTAAGAGTGTATCGCAGTGTTCCGGAGAGGAACGTGAGGGACGCTTGCGAGGGAGAAGCTGATTCGTGGCTGATTAGTTCTCCCTTTTTCTTCCTTAAATTATTTTTTTCTCCTTTTTTCCCTTTTTCCTTTTTCCTCTCTCACCTTAACGTTGCTTATTCATTTATCAATTCGCCGATTCTAGAAAATGCGTCCTTATCGCCCCCCCCTTTATCACACCACCCTCTCAATCCCACCCAGTTCCCGCAGAAGAAAAAAGAAAAGAAAAACGAGGTGAGAACCTTACGACAACCACATTATGCCCCTCCCACCCTCCCTCTCTCCAAAAGCACAAGTGGAATCTGACCGAGTGATAATCCATGATGTTGTATCACCACCACCACGGATCAATACCGGTACTGCAATCTGTCCTCTTTTCGTATGATACATTTCGTAGGAAGAGACCACGCAACGCACGAAACGCAACGCAACGCAATGAAGCCTCATCCCCCCCCTCCCCCCATTACCCGTACTCGGGCGTGTGGGGAATAAAGTGTGCACGATACGGTATATAGCATACGTATGCCAGTTCACACTGTAGGGTACTCATACCGAGCCTGCACTCCAATATCACAGGATGGGGGAACGGACAGATAGTCTAGTCTATATGAATCGATGCATATGGTAACAAGTATATCATACGTATATGATAATATCATAGCTCAAGACGAGTCACGGGGATTAACACAGTAAAAAAAAAAATATGTAAAAAAAAAAACAGTTATGACAATGTTAACCAAACCTTCAATACACATGTTATTCCCATACCCTACCGGTAAACCACCCCAGAGCTCCTTCCCTTCCTCCTCCCTTCCCCCACCCAGCTACCGGTACTCGAGCACTGTACTCGTAACAGCCCAACAGCCCAACATAGCGGTTCCTGCGCAACGCACGCTTTGACTTGGCGGCACCCATCCACCCATATCGTACTTGTACTCGTACAGCCCCAGGGCACTCTACCCGTAATGTATTGCCGCTCCACTCCCACGCTAACTTAAGGTAAAGTATAGGGGACAGAGCCTCAAGTCATGCATCGTGACGTAATTCGCGATAAGGCTGTATTAGCCTTGCTGTACGTATGCACGGTAGCACGGCATCACACGAGCGCTGCGACCTGCAACACGCATGGACCGAGGAAGGGTAAGCAGTCCTGGAGTTCGACAACTACGGTATGGTATAGTATATGCTGCTGGCCTTGCTGTACTCGAGTACCGGTACAGCACCCGAGTGTATGATGGGAGAGCGGGACTGGGAAGGCGCCGGCGGGCCTTGGGACGGATAAGGTGTGGGATCGACATACAGATGGGGTACCGTAGCGTACCCTGACAGAGAGGGAGGGGGGGGGACTGAAGTAACGAGTACGGTACTCGATAGCACATAATACCACGCGAACCCATTTAAACGGAAATCATGTCTGCCCATCTTCTTCATCTTATCGGGCTGTTCGTGTTTATAGACCATGTAGCAGGCCATTCCAGAATGGTGAACCAATTTATATACCTACTCCTTTCTTTTCTTTACACCCCGAAATATATACCCGGCTCTAGCCACCGACCGACCCAAAGAAGTATCCACAAACTAAGTAAGGAGAAGGGAAAGAAGCCATAGACGGATGGTGACGCGTTTTTTGTTTTTGTTTCCCTTCCTTTCTTTCATCTCTACGGTAAAAAATGACAAACCACTCCACAACCAATCCCCCACAATCAAAACAACGCAACGCAAAGCAAGGAAAGAGGCAATCATGTTCCATTCTTCATACGTTATGACACCGAGTTTGCACGAGTTGCGACAACAAAGAAAAAGGAAAAAAAGTCCATGCTTGGGAATAATTCTTCCCACTATGTACGATAGCCACTTACTGTCCCTTCTTCTCGGCGGAAGGGGTAGAGGGTTGCGGCTTTCCCCAGCCCCAGATCCACTTGCCAGCGGGGGCGGTGCTCGGGGAACTCTCGTTGGTCGCGTCGCTCATCGTGACGTGATCGAAATCGCCTTCGGCACCCGACATATTGCCCGAGCTAGGGGACTTGAAGAACTTTCCCTTCTCCGAAGGGTATGCTCCGGTAGCCTCATCAAGGACAGATGCAATGCTCGTTCCACCAACCGGTTCGCCAGTTCCGCGGATTGTATTCATCTCCTGTTCCAACGCGGCCATGACAACCTTCAATCTCTCTCTCTGAAGCTCGATAAATCGAGTCTTCTCAACTTCGCCTTCGATCCCGGGAGGAATTAAGGTTGCCGAATTAGGCATCCCATCACCAGCAGATGGATTCCTCTGTTCCTGCTGCTGTAGGGCGGACGACAAGAAATGATAGAAATCTGTAGCCATCTGCGGCGCATAGGGCGTGATCGGTGGGACCCTCCACCGTGTGAACAGGTTCTGAACAAACGAGGTGGGATCCTCCGCAGGTGGAGGATGTTGGGATTGCATGGCCGCCTGGTGGGCCTGTTGGAGGGTTCCGAATAGGGCTTCCCGAGCGTAATCGATAAGTTTACGTATGTACTCGACCCCCGCAGCCCTAGCCTGATCGTGTGTTCGGGTAATGAACTCTTCTATCTCCCTTTCGTGAGCGTCCAGTGTTGGGTGGACATGTTCTACGTATAACCTTGTAGCTCCCTGGAACTGCGGTAAGACCAGCCACAACATGAAGCCCGCACGGATCTCTTGGTAAAATGGAAACCTAGATAGCAACGGGGTTAGGAATGAAGCCCTGACAACATCACCCCGTAATTCCGGGAACCTACCAGCAAAGAATCCAACCCGTCCATGACTCAACAACCAAAATACAAGCGATGACCACCCAATACATCAGCCATGGTGTCAGTTGTGTAGGATCGTTGGCCTTGAGGGCCTTGTATGAAGCGAAAACAGGAAAGAGAAAGGTAGCAACAGAACTAGAGCACACGAGAGACGGTCAAACGTTAGCCAGAGGCTTGTGAAGGATAAGCCATATCCAAGCCGGGACCGGAGTCGATAAGCGGGAAGCCGGTGGAAGCCATCCGCCGCAACCCAATCTCAACGATCCGGGGTTCGCTAACTCACCAAAGAATCTTAGCTAGTAAATCAAACATTGCGGGGAATGTGTAAATGGAGCAATATCGATGGGCAGGGTAGATGTCAAATCAATAGGGTCTGTCGAAGATGAGGGCTTTGTGACGATTGACGATCGATAGATGTGAGGATGGATGAAGATTCGGATGGAAGTGAAGATGAATGGAAAGGGGCGGAAGAGGGATGATAAAGAGAATCTTGGGGAGAGTCTAAGAAGAGACGAGGGGAAGGCCGGAGCGAGTGAGGGGGGTCGTGTGTGTTGTTTTGGGGGTGGTGGTTTCCGTGGTGCGTGGGGAGGAACGCAGGGAGGGTTTTGTGAATTGTAACGTGGATAAGAGGGGGGAGGAGGGGCAACTGCAACAGGCGGAGAGAAGGGAGCAACCAGCATCGAGGAAGCCCCTCCACACCAAAATGTAAAAAAAACTGCCTCCCCTCCCCTCCCTCGCGCAGCCCAGGCAATGGGAACAGCATACCCGAGCAGCCAGTCAGCGGTATCGCAAAGAGGACAGACTGAGCAAACTAAAGCCAGCTTTCACTATTCTCGCCCGTAAGTACAAGCAATCCCTCTCCATCGGCACTGTACTCGAGTATAATCGTATCACAGAAGGAAGCTGGAAGTGATGACAGGTTGCAACACTATTAGGACACTGTTATCCACAGAAAGGACAAACAATTCAAAAGGCCCCACATTGACAAACCCTCTCCCTACGAGTACTTGGCAATTCAACAAGTACGGTACTGCACAAGTACGAGTATCCGGAAATCTTGGCGTTTTTCGGCGGTAACCTGCGCCAAGATTTCTGGATACCTGTTGCATTGCCAAGTACTCCCACCAAAGTCTGGCGGAGCAACTCGCAGCAACTGTGGTTCTCTCTCTCTCTCTCTCTCTCTCTCTCGTTCTTTTCATCACTTATGATACTGTACTCCACGAAGCTACCCCGTGACTAGGTCAGCATCACCCCCCAGATGAGGATTAGCGCAATCTGGAGCCCCGGCACATCACTCTAAATTCTGGTTTCTGAGGCTTGTCTTGTCACGATTCTCCATTCTCCAAATGCCCAGCTCACGCTTCTCCTGATCGATTGATTCCCCCCATCCTTGTCTCTCCATAGTCCATCTCCATCAATCCAATCCCTATTCCAGCCGGGTGAACCCTTTCTTCTCTAATCAAAATTATCTCATCCTTCTTCCCCTCCGCCCTCCTGCCTACCTTGGCCCCTCAAGTTCAAATCTTTCTCTCACTGCGCATCGCTCGCATTCTTACCGGTTCCCGTGCCCTCTCTCGCTCCTGTTGTTTGTCTAGAATGAAGCTCCCTGGGGTGTGCGGTATTACCGACCCTAATCGGCCGACTGGTAGGTCAAGAATCGTCCGTCGTGTCAGGAGATTGTCAACCAACCCTAACCCTCCAAGGGAAAGGCAACGGAGGGAAGAAATAAGGAAAAACAGCATTTGGCCGTGGCTTGCCACCATCGTACCTCTCGCCAAATTTGCCGCACCGAGGATCACCTACTCGTACAGCTGCCATGTGTCGATCGAGTGGGCTGTTGTTTCCCCCATCCATCATCCACCGGACAGGGCCCCTCCTCTCGCGGGTGGCCGACGAACAAACAAAACGAAGCGAGCCAAATATCATCCCCGTGTGTCAGAGAGGTAGGTAGTTGGGCAATCCAAAGGTATTGTTCTCCGCTGGCTGTCGCTTTCGTTGTTGGGTAGCCCTTGCGCACTTTTTGCTGGCCAAGAAACTCGTGACTTTACCGGAATTGTACTCGTACACGCCTTGTCATACTGTGCGACCAAGGTTTGTATCTCTTGCTCGTTCATGTTCTTCTTGTACGGCCGGCCGCCACTCCCTCCTCTTTGCCCGCGCATCACCAGAGTCGTATGTCCGAAGAGGCACTCTCCATTGATGAGTGAGGTCACTTGCGTCGACCCCCCCTCCCTCTTACCTCCCTCGAAATCCCCTGTGCCTGGTGCTGCGCTGGCAAGGAATTGTCCGTGACAGCTAAATAGCTACTCTCTGCCTGCCACCCACCCTGTATCTCGAATCCCTCCCATTCGCCCCAACTATTGATTGACTGCCGTGTCAGTTCTGAAAGAAACCACAGCTCTCCAACAGAAAAATCTCATCAAGCAAACAGCCTCCCCCACCATCCCGGTAATGTGTATCCTACTACTTACCACCTCCCACCCCGACTACCCTCTCATCCTCCTCAACAACAGAGATGTACGTTTGCTTTCTTTTTCACCACCATATCCGTCGTGTTAGATGATTCCGTACTAGCCTCCCCACTCCGTGAGGGCGTTAGCATGCATCCTCCAAAATTTCACTCTTGCTGTTCCTCCCACACGTGCTCCCCGCTCACCCAGTCCTTCTAGGAGTTCCTTCATCGTCTAACACAACCAGCCGCCTTCTGGGAGCCCCCGTATTCCCATATATTCTCTGGTCGAGATCTCGCCCGTCCTGAACATGGTTTGCGCATTCTCTCCCTTCATCCCGCCCCTCTACCCATCCGCAGATCGCATGTATCTAACCATCCATCACCAGGCACATGGCTCGGAATCACTCGCTCCGGGCGCCTAGCCGTCCTCACCAACTTCTGCGAGGATTCGTCTGCTGCAGCCATAAGCCAAAAGTCCCGCGGCGCGGTGGTAACATTGTTCCTGACGTCACATGAGGACCTCAACGGCTCTACAGAATCATTGCTCCACCGGCTGCTCGCAGACGGACAAATGAAGGGCGTCGGAGGATTCTCCCTCCTGTGCGGAACCCTGCGTCCAAGCTCATCCAGTGGTGGTCCAAAGGCAAACTTGGAAAAACTTGCTGTGATCTGTAACCGAACCGCTGCAGGCGACGAAGGCGTCGAAAGTGGCGCGCATTGGATTGCAGGTACCAAGGGTGAAACCCATGGCCTGAGCAACTCACTATTCGACGATCCCTGGCCAAAAGTGGTGATCGGCAAAAAATTGCTCGCAGAAACCATCGAGAGATCGGCCGGAAAGCCTGAGAATGAATTACTGGAGGACTTGTTTGCTGTCCTAAGCCACGACACGATGCCCGTCACGAGGGGGAAAAACAGTGAGGCTCAACTAGAGGCTCTGCGACACTCCATCTTCATCCCGACGTTCGAAACCTCTCCCGAGACCCCCGAAAAGAATGGCCATGTTGAACCCGTCGCCGAAGGGGCCGCCTCCGCAAGACCCGCCCGGTCGGGGGCCAATGGGGTTAGCTCAACCGGAAGTGGCGGTGCGGAAGGCCTACTCGGTAATGGTGATAAAGCGGAGCACTACTGCACCACGCCAGATGAAGAGGAACATGGGTGGAATCACCCCGAGAGACTATACGGAACGCACAAGCAGACCATCATACTCCTCCACAAGAACGGGAAGATAAAGTACGTTGAACGAACACTATACGACAACGATGCAAAGCCGGTAGACAAGAAGGATAGAGACATTGTATGCGAACTTGACATCGAAGGGTGGAGCGATGCACCCACTACTGCTGCATAAGTGTAAAGGGAAGACTGATACCCCCCACCTGCCGAAATCTGGAAGCGATATTCGCTTGCCGTTTTGTGTTGGTCTTTTTGAACCACTTTCACCAGGATCCTTCCCGTAGTACCGGGTATCCATGTATCAACTTCTTTCATTTCATTTCATTTTCTTCTCTCTTGGGCATATTCTCAATGGCATGTACAGTACTCGAGTACAAAGCGGATGGGGGAAAGTCTAGCGAAATCTTGGCAGCTAATACAGTACAAATTCTGTGAGCACATTCGCCAGACTTTCCCCTATCCCCCGGTACAATCATCTCATGTATGTAGTTTACTCGAGTACGCTCGTACCGTAACACCATACCGATACTATACTAGGGGTATTCAAAGTTAAAAACAGATGTGAGAAGAAACAAGTAGGTACTAGAACGTGCATTAGTTTACTAAAGGTGATGGTCCAATAGCATCATAGAAAATATAGTATCATAGTTGAGGCCCCCAAATTTTCAGAAAAGTGAAAAGTAACGAGTATAGGTAAAAGTTAGCGTACATTTAGAAGAAAATTTTTCATATACCAAGATGACAACCCCGGAGGAAAGATGATCAGACAACCCCATCACCAAAATGCTACGCGATTATTCTGAGAATACGATTTGGACAAAAGCCGAAACGGAGACGGTAATTCAATGGCTTGAAGAGCCTGAGAATTTACGAAAAATCAAAAAGGGTTCAGGAATTACGAAGAAAACAATTGTTGCTGAAATCGCAGTCCAAATTCCTACCAAAGAAGCTATTAAGGTTGGGTACAAGTATGATAATATCATGAAATCCTATTGGGCTGCAGCAAAATTAAACAACCAAAGCGGATGGGGTTTATCAGAGAGGGACTTAGATGAGGGCAGGAGAAGTTTACGAGGTAAGAAAAAAAATTATTCTTTTAAAATACAAGAAATTATCTTACAATATAATAAAATTAAATTTTTTTATTTTTTAGACAAGCTACTTTCCCGGTGTCCATATTTCTTCCGTTTGGAGAGAATTTTGGGTGATCGACCCAATGTACGATCACCAGTCTCCTATGACTCGGGCCACGACGCAAATGATACAGCTGCAACGATCGAACAGTTGCTTATAGCAATCTCTAACGACAATCTGGAGGAGGAAGAGGAGGGCCAACTACCGCTCGTTAGTCAGGAGGGTACAGAAGGAGAAGTGGAATGGGAGGGGGAAAATGGGGCAAGCGTTAGCAGAGAGGGGGAGGAACAAGAACGGGAGGAGGAGCGGCTAGGAGAAGGAATGCGAATAGAGAGTAGGGGGAATGAGGAAGAGGTGGCAATATTGGGAGGTAATGGAAGAGAGGAAGAGGATGGTGGTAGTTCTTATCGAGGAGAAAGAAGTCGAGTGAGCCAAGAGACCACAGGGGGAATTGAGGAAGAGGAGGTGGTAGTTATGGGTGAGAATAGGGAAAGGCAAGGGGCACAAAGGG